ATTAGCATTGAAGATTATGTATTTTTATTATGATTTATTGCCATTTTATATGACATCCAGACAGAAGCAGTCCAATGGTCAAAAGGTCACGAGTGTTGCATTTATGACTTTAATATTATTAGTATTACCATTTTGACTTTCCATTATTATATACTCTCAGAAAAAAAGGAACAAAATCTGTCACTAGTTAGTACAAATAATAGTATTATTAATAATAATAATAATTAATATTCATTCATTTTGATATGCTCGCTGTTAAATAAGGTTTATGTATTGTTAAACATTAACAGCAACCACAATATCTATGTTACATGCTTGCTGTCACTCAATCTGGAGGTCTATGCATTGTTGAATGTATAATTCACAGATCCCATTTAAAATACTAAGCTTACAGTATAAAAAGCTTACAGTATATTGCAAATAAAAGATGTTCTTGGTTATTGAAACAGTAATTATAGCTTTCTGAGGAATATAACCACTAGATGGAGACAGTGGCTGAAAGCATTTTCTTTATTATTATTCATGTCAAATTAGTCACACCATTACACTGAATAAAGAAAATAATTGTTTAATTAAACATTTTTTTTTATATATAATATTAATAAGTGAACGTGTAATGAAATCCTTTTTCTGTAATCCTGTAATGAAATACGTCACAACTGTTTTGCACTTTCAATAGTTTGTCGCATCAATCTCTGCGTAAACTCATGAACCAGTGTTTATGTGGTTTTCCCCTGATCTCGAATCAATTTTATACATTTGTAGACATTTTTAATGAGACTTTTGTATAATTAAAATGAAGAATATGTCTCTTATTTGCCTGATTAACACGCTTTCCATAAATCAAATCTAACTAGCCCTACAAATTAAAAATAATAATATTTACATTTACATTTAGTCATTTAGCAGACATGGAAGCAATCAAAATCAACAAAAGAGCAATGATATGTAAGTGCTATAACAAGTCTCAGTTATCTGCAGTACACATAGCAAGTTTTTTTTTTTTATTATATAGTAAATAAAAAGTAAACAGAATAGAAAAAGAATAGAGCAAGCTAGTGTTAGATGCATTTTTTGCTTTTGTTGATTATATAATAAATAAAAAGAAAACAAATAGAATACAAAAAGATTAGAAAAGCTAGTGTTAGTATTTTTTTTAAGAAAACAAGCAGTTAGTAAATAGAGTAGAGTGCAAGTCTAAAAGGGGAAAGTTGTTGTTTTTGTTTTTTTTAAAGGAATATAATTAGAATAGTTAGAGGGTCAAATAAAGATGGAAGAGATGTGTTTTTAGCCGATTCTTGAAGATGGCTAAGGACTCAGCTGCACAGATTTAGTTGGGCAGATCATTCCACCAGGAGGGAACATTTAATTCAAAAGTCTATGAAAGTGATTTTGTGCCTCTTTAGAATGGCACAATAAAGCGAAGTTCACTTGCAGAACGCAAGCTTCTAGAGGGCACATAACTCTGAAGTAATGCATTTAGGTAAAGGGGTGCAGAGCCAGTGGTGGTTTTGTAGGCAAACATTAATTTCCTGAATTAATTGGTAGCCATTGCAAATTGATAAACAGAGGTGTGATGTGCATTCTTTTTGTCTCATTAAAAATGTATCTTGCTGCCGCGTTCTGGATTAATTGTAAAGGTTTGATAGAACTGGCTGGAAGACCTGCCAAGAGAGCATTGCAATAGTCCAGCCTGGACAGAACAAGAGCTTGAACAAGGAGTTGTGAAGCATGCTCCGAAAGAAAGGACCTGATGTTCTTAATGTTGAATAAAGCAAATCTGCAGGACCGGGTAGTTGTAGCAATGTGGTCTGAGAAAGTCAGCTGATCATCAATCATAACTTCAAGGTTTCTGGCTGTTTTTGAAGGACTTATGGTTGATGTGCCTAACTGTATGGTGAAATGTAGGGGTGCTCGGTTCCAGGTTTTTCGGAGTCGACTCCGACTCCTGACTCCCACCATAGGAGTCGATGGAATCCTCGACTCCATTTAGCGTGACTGTCCAAATTACTCTAATTTAGCGGTGACATTACCTTTAAATGAGCTATGAATTAGTCACATTATAAT